ACAATTGTTGATTGAAGGAAATAAAAACATATTAAATGATATTACAAGGTGGAAATATACTAATTAATTTAATATTGATAATTAATAGAATAATTTTTTATATAAGGAAATTTGCTATTATTATTATTTCCTCTTGATGGTTTCTTTTGTAAATTATTATTTCTAATAATACAGTAAACAAGTAAATTCATTTTCGATTTGAAATGATTCTTTCTATAAAGCTTTATATAATTTTTAGATGAAAAATTAAACATTATTATTTTTTCTCCCAAAAAAAATATCAAAATATTAATCACTTCTTTCTTCTTCCGATTTCGACTTCAAATACCTTTTATGCCATCATCATTTATCGATCTTTTCACATATTGATATATCATTATTAGTTGGCAATTAAATTTCACGTTTTGCAAGTGATATTTTTACTTTTCAATATCTGCAGTGCCTCGTTTAACGACATCATTCTCTTTATCATTTCCCTTTGTCATCTTCTTATTATTATTGCATTGTTTTATATAAAAATCACACATTCAGGGGGTTGATGTGATATACCGACGTTAAAACACCCAGTTATATCAGACTTCCTCTTTTGACAAATTGTAAAGTATACTTTTCTGAAATCAAAGAAATTTATCTACTAGGAGCTCAAGTTCGTTGGGTTTTTTTTCTTCTGACATATAGTGGATAAAAAATATCAAAAATTCCAACTGCTAGCATTTTATCTTTGCTTTTAAAAGCAAAAAAATGTACTAGACAAAACGTATTATATGAATAAACAACCATAGCTTATTCACATTTCGGGTGACTCGTTATTGATTATTGATAAATTCATTATTATAATACTTAATACACTCAATATTGAGCCTGATTTACTAATCGTCGCTAGTCTTATCCCGTTAGCCTGAAGTCTACATTACAGTTAGCCAATCATCTGAAGACATCAAGTGCTGCTGCGCTAAAAGACGAAAATTTTAAGTAACGCGATTTTTTTCTTAATAAAAATGCCTAAAACAGAATAAAAGGAAACAATCTTTACAAAAAGCTCATGAAATTAAAAAATTGAAAAGGCTATCGGAACCATCATCATTATATGTTTCAATTGATATTTCTTTAATTCGTTTAATAATATTTGAGGTGTGAATGAATTAGGTGAGATGCGAATGAATCTGGACTAGAAGTCGAAGGATTAATCTATGCAATCTCACTTATAAAGAATGTCTCCGAAGAAAATGATTTTATTTATATATTTTGGTTTTTTATAATCATTTATATTTATTTCCACTTCTAACACCTCTACATCATCGATGTTATTATGTTTTTAATTAACCTTAAGATTAACATTTTTGCAACTGATAGTTGTATGATAAGAGCACATTTCAATATTTTTATGGCATATAAACAAGGCCACACTAAGTTTTTAGATTAGAAATTATTATTAAATATTTATTAGCAATGTAACTTTATTTATTGCTACGATGACAACACCGCTCTTTCTGTCACCCAAATATAGATTTTGCATCTATTCGAAACTAAACTTTCTTCCCTCCAAAAATCAATTTTATATAATTTCTATTTGCGAGACACAGTCATTTTCAATTAAATTGTTGTCAGATTCAAGGGTGTTAATGGTCAAGGTCAGTGGCAGAGCACAGAAGATTTACATCAATGAAACTAAATTAGAACATCAAAAACGAACTTCATCTCTTATAGTAAACAACTGGTTAACGAAAATTGTAGTTATTTATAAAACATTTAGGGACGAAAATTCCGGGTGAGATTAATCTAAAGCATTTTGAGGATAACAAATTTTCAAGAGGTGTGTGTGATAAAAAGTCATTGGTTAGATTTTCAAAGAAATACCCGGAAAAAACCATATTAGGCGTTAGTTTCAAAATATTTGAGAAAAAATTTCGCACCAAGTATTGGTTGTAGACGTTATGTCGAATGAATCACTAACTGTATTGTTATAAAGCAAGTTACCATATACAGCGTACGTGTTTCAATATTCACGAAGACTTGTTTTATTTATTTGCCAAGAAATGTACAGTAATTATAAAGAATTAATTTTAATAATATTGATATTATCAGTGCACAAAGTTTTGGCGAAGTTCGGCAGATTTCCAACAGCTGCCAATAACACCAGGAAAATAAATCTTACATAAACCTACGTAGGGTTCAGAATTGGCCAGCATTATGTCGATATTTTGGTAATTCTGTTAACATTTCCGCATAATGCTGGTCAGTTTTAAACCCTGAGTAGGTTTACATGAGATTTATTTTCCTGATGAAATCAACCAATTTAATATATTCTTTTATAGTCCTGATAGTTCAAGACATATTTAAACGACTCTTCTGGCTCACCAATCATTGAAATAAAGAAAATAATATTAAATGCATATATAATAAATTATTTTAATAATTCTCACATCTTAGCGTTATTTAGAACATATGAATTCTGTGAGACAGGAAAATCGGAAATTTCAAGAATAACTATGAAAGGATCAATTGCATATGAAATTTTAGGTCACGAAATGCTAATAACTATTTCACAAGCTCTTGAAGGACAATTTTTGAATGGACTCTTAGAGATGTATCAACAGACTGATATACAAGTGACGCAAGCATATTAATGTACACACCTTCAAAATTTTAACCAATAATTGAATTATTTTATAAAGATTTATAGCCCAAAGCAGTCTATATGCATACTTTATATGTTTAAAAGGTAAATACTATCGCTGGATGAAACTATTTGTTCGATTTCTTTGTTGGTAATGGTTGTGAAATAATGTTCAATAAGAATTTTTTTATTCTTGATGGTCGCATAACAAGCATCAGATAGATTTTTTAATCATATATCAGTTTTTCTGAAAGGGTAATAAAAAGCATTAATTAATTCTGATAAAATAATAATACCTCTGGTAAAAATAATATTTATCGCTGTTCACTGCCAAATATATTAATATTGTATAACTATAGATCCGTTTTTTTTTAACGAAACTTAATTCGAGTATCTGGTATTTTGATTTCATTGAAAAAAATCTAACTAGAAATAGAAATTACAATGAAAAAATTTTATTTTTTAGAGATCTTTCTTGTGTGCTAATTATATATATATATACTATTTATTTATTTATTTGAAAAAAAATTCTAATTTCAGAATAGAAAATATAAATATTTGTAAATCATACAACGAACTTTTTAAACTGAATTTATGAAGGAATTGAAAAATTTTTTTTGTGTTTGTTGTCTTCATTACAAATTTAATTGCGTAGTATATATATAGTATATAGATAAAAATATGTCGATCCGGGCAAAAATGTGTAAAAATCGACGAATTGAAATACTTCCCTCCAATATAACATGACAAAATATTCCGCAAACAAAAAATAATATTAATATGATATGATTTTTAGAAATTTTTTTTATTTAATAAAAAAACCAAATTTTACTATAGGGTATCTCTGGATTTTGAAGTAAAAAATTTTGTGTAATTTGTGATACAAATTTGGGACTGATCTATTGTTTCAACCAATCAATTAACAGATTCGTCAACCTAATTTTCAACAAATATTATTAAAAAATGTGCCAATCGTCTACTTCTATAACGTATCACGAATTAAATTGTTTTACTAAAATGGATCATGTCAATAACTTTGTTTTTATTATGTACTAAAAAACCTTACTAACTTTATTATCAAAAGAAAGAAAGAATTTTTTTAAAAAACAATCAAATCTCCACAATCTATCTCGGAAATCCATGTTTCCCACCCATATTAATGTAATAAGAACAACGAATGACGTTGCATTTGTGAATATCAAGCAAACCCCCTTTATTATTATTATTATTTTCATTAGATTAATAAAAGATTTTTTTACTATGTTAAATAAGGAGGAAAGAAAATTGTTAATTTATATTTCATAAAACAGCCCAAGATTTAAAAGATAGAAGGTAATTTTATGTTCAATGGGAAACCTTGCAAGCAGAATTCAGTTTTCGATCTAACAATCCATAAGGGTTAACCTTGCCAAGTATATCTGTCTTTATTATTAATTTTTTTTAAAAAGTTATTTAAAAGAATCTAATTAATTGAAGTTATTTTAACATTAGGAGAATCTATTATTATACTTTATACATTCAATTGCTAATATTTTCAAGGTAATGGCTATTAGCATAAGAAAATTAGTATCTGGTGTAAATTTTCATTGTGCGATTTTTATGTATATTTTTGTGTAAATTAATACATTGGACCATTTTTTGAATTTTTTTAGTCAGTCGCAACTATAAAATATTTAGTCGGCTAGCCGCAACTTGTGACTTCCTAGCTGACTTGCTGCAACATTAAGTATAAGAGGGATCCGTCATATGTATATTTTTATATATGTGAAGTTAACTCGAATTTAATTATAATTCATTGATACAATATTCATTGAAACGAGATTTGACTGTAATATTACCGAGAGCAAAATATTTTATTTTATCTTGACTAGCTATAAACATCATGAAATTTCTAACAACTAGTAAAATGTCGAAGTAAATGCTTAGTTCCTCCGTCACACTTTTTAATTCGGGACTATTCTCACCAAATTTAATAAAGCAAAATTTACAGCAACATACTGTAATTTGTTATTAATATCGCTTTTTTTATTAGTTTTAATGGTATACTCTTCCAAAGTTTTAATCACCTGGAATGGACAAATGGAAATTTTTTTTTTTCGTTATATCAGTATGATCGCAACGAGCTCATATTCTTACTGGTATTATTATTTTAATTTTATTATTAATAAATAAAAGTTTTATTAGTGGATGTTTCTATATATGACAATTATAATTATTATTGTTTATTATTATTTATTATTTATTTATTATGCATTACACGAGCATTCGTTCTACATTATTTTAATCTGCAACTTGCTTTCAAATTCATGTTGTTTCTGAATTCCTTTCCTCAAATTAAATTGATCTTCTTTAATAAAAAGTAGTCTTTCATTTATCGTTAAAAATGTTCCAAACAGAAAAACAATCATTAAATCTTCGTTATTCTTGGAACAATAAATTTTTAAAAATATTATTCATTATTTTCGTATTATGGATTTTTTATAGCAGTTATGCTGGAAATCTAAAATTTTCATCATTGTCGTCTTCATCATCTCATCTTTCAACTCCCTCACAAGAAGATATATTACCTAATAATCAAAATACATCACCTACTTTAACTCAACCACACTCGACACCTCCCCCAATTCTCTCACCAGAAGATATTTCTATAAATTTGAAATATTGTGGTGAACCGGAATGCAAATTTATGTTTGTTTATACAGTATTCGGAGAACAAGTAACTAGACTCAATTTACATTTCTCGTCGCTTGCAAAATTATCAATATTCTTAAATAGAACATTGGTATTGACAAATGTTGGACATTCTGAAATGAATGCGTGTTCTGATTTTCCGTTTGAGTTTTATTATGATATCGAACAACTAAAAAAAAATATGCCAGGTTTACAAGTTATTACACAAAAAGATTTTTATAATTGGATTGGAGAACGTAGTTTTAAACCTAATGTAACTCTTAGTTACATGTCACATAAAGAACCTAGATTCACATCATCAAAACCTTCAACCCAATTTTTTAAAAATCCTGAAGATGAACAATGTTATAATTCATTAAATCTCAAACCAATAGATTACAAAGAGGTTTATTGTGGAGCTAATATAAAAAGTGAAATTTATCAAAGAACCATGAAAAGCTTTTTAATGAAAGAATTTAATACAGATGTTGAAATTTTATTAATAAGGTATGGTCTTGTTGGAGGTAGATTCATGCAAAATGATCCAGTTTTAGCTTATGCAAAACATATAATTGAAGCTAGCAGTAGAGTTGTTAAGAAATTAAACCCTTTTATTGCCATACATTGGAGAATGGAAACAGCAGATGAAAAATTAGCTCCAAAGTGTTCATTACAACTTGTTAGATTTATTCAAAAATTAAAAAACAAAACAAAAATAAAAAATGTTTATTTGGCTACTGACTATCCATTAAATAATATTAACAACAATACTAATTCTAGAATAACACAATCTGATAGTTGGCATAAAATCACAAAGAACCATCATTTGGCAATACGTTATTTAAATTCTTTACTTTCAATAAAGTCATGGGTATCAATGAAAGCACTTGATTATTTATCTGATGACAAAAGGTTAGATCAAAAAGCAGTGCAACATGAATTAAAAGGAGCAGGAGTACAAGGAATTATAGATAAATTGATATTAATGAACGCAGATTATTTTGTTAGTGGTCCAAGTGAATGTGCCAGAACAACTAGCATCTACACAAAAAAAATTAAAAACGAACGCAAGAAAATGATTCATGATCGAAAAACTAATTTGAAAAATATTGCGTATATATGGAACTCAACAATTCCTAAAATTTTGCCAAATTCTTAAATTGTTTATACTGTATTTAATTTTATTTAGATATTAGTGTTTATAATAATAATTTTCACAAATTAATATAATAGAATACATAATAAATTTTACAAGTTTCGTGATTAATAATACCATTTTCTACATGATGAAGTCTTGTTTGTCTATAATTGCGATCACGCCACCAGATGATATGGGTTGGATATTAACCAAATCGTCATCAAACCTTTTATACTTGTCGATGGTTTTCTATGTATAGCCAAAACATAAACTACCGTTGCATTAGCAAGCTCCGATGCTTTCATTAAAGAATTACTTGTTTGTTTGTAACTGTAATTACAGTGCACCAACTTGTCAAGTAGTTTCCTCTAACAGTGGAAAAGAGTCAAACGAAATTACTTCCTTTGACCCAATCTTCTTTTTGCCTTTCTAGATTATTAAATAACACTATTATCATTGCTCTGATGGTGAAAATGGCTTCCTGTTTGCAACAATAATTACCTTGTGACTTCATTCACAAGCGAGCTCCAAATCTTTTTATGTTTATGTTTTGGTCGATCAATGTATGGTTGGCTCGGTCTAAAGACCTCTTATTGCTGCGCCATGCGCTCAAATTTCAAAAATTGCGGTTTCGTGATGCAATAAAATTTTTAAAAAAGGGCTTCAGATGATTTTGGTTAAAAATTTATTTTCCTTACTGCCAAATTTAGATATGATGGTCGAGTATTTCATGTAGATTGTTTTGTTTATGGTGAACATGATGGTATGCAGATAATGAATTTTATTACTATTGTGATAAATGTATTGAAAAATAAACAAGAAAAGCTTAGCAAACCAACTTTAGTCCAAATAGTCAAAAAAAGTATAATAAAAAATTTATCACATGAAATAAGATTTATTACGAAAATCACTTTACACTTTTCAAAAAAAATGTTGACCCAGCGCGAAATCGAAAAATTGAGCTTGTGTAGCCTTAAAAAGAAAAATTGCATTTATCAACCAGCTGGCATCACTATAGTGTAGCCCATCGACCAATAGCTATGCCACAGTCCAAGATTTTGGGCATCTTGTCAAATTTACTGTAGTTTGAGACAGAAATTATTTTATTATTATCACTGCATTCAAATCTCTCGTTTCAACGAATCTATGTAGCACATAAGAAATGGAGTTTAAAATTCGTTATATTACGGAATTGGAAAAAATTTAATTCAACAAAAGACGATACAAAATCCATTGCTTTATGGGAAACTCATCACTTTTCTTTGGTGAGTATTAATATTCACAAGAAATTGTGATAAGGAATATCCACCGAAATTGTGTCAAGCTACTGAAACACTTTTCAGTACAGATTATATGTATATAATCTAAGAAATTTTATAATAAGTTTAATAAGTTTGCTTTAATTTTTATTGACTGCTGACAATAGCACATATATTAATAATGTAAAAGAGGAATTATTTTCATCTGGCAGTTATTTGAATTAAAAAATGAGATTAATATAATATGTTTTGCATAAATTAGAAATTCATGAATTATTGGATGACCTTCTCCAAATGTTTGGATATAATTTGTGAAAGGAAAGAGAGGTTAAAAATAGCAAAATTCACTATTCTGCAAAGTGTCATATTGTGCCAAATTTCTTGATGTAGGTTATCCATGGAAACTTGAAAAAAACTGGCAAAGGAATGTGGTGGTTGCAATAGTGAAATTTGTAAATGCTATTTGGATGTCATTGCAAAAAAACTGTTAAAAAAAGAAAGTAATAAGATTTCTTCTAATAAAACAAGAACAACTAAGTTTGCCTGGATTCTACTAAAGCACAACGTTAATCACAGAAAAGAATGATAATATTAATAGAGCATTAATCAGGGCATTTGTAATGTGTGGTATACCTTTTAATGTTGTATTTTATTTGAGTTACTTGGACGACTTAGACCCCACCTAAATATAAAAGCAATTTCAGGAAGACTTCTTGATACAGAAGTGATAATATTAATACCTGCAAACTTGTGGGATGCAAAATATTATGAATATTGTAAAAATAGAACCAATGATTATGAATCAAATAATATAGGCAATGATTATGGGTGATGCGGATAATGAAAACCAAAATGAAAAGAAATCAATTAATAATAAGATTAATAAGAAAAAATCAATCATTAGAAAATAAGCTAGAAAAAAAAACTAGGATTAATTACTGAGATTGTCAGATATTTTTAGTCAAATGTATTCATTGTTTAACTTTCGGTTTAGGTTTTGAATTTGGCCATGGTTTTGTATTTCGGTTTAGGTTTCAAACTTGTAGTACTTATTATTACAGTACATTTTCGATTCCGGTACTACCGAAAAGGTATTTTCGATGGATATCCCTAATCGCGATATGTGAACAAGAAAATGCAATCTTTTACAACTTTATACATTCATTTAGAAATTTAGACATTGAGATTTGCTAGAAAATATCATATGTGAATTCAGGAATTTTAGTTTATTACATTTATTCAATAAATATAAAAGTTATATAACCGAGATGGGAAAAAGAAAAAATTTATTGACTTCAATGGAATGTAACTAAACCGAGCCAAATTTATTTTACCTTTCCATTACAATTAATATAAAATTTTAATAATGATGCATTATCTATCTTAAAATTAAGTAATTCTGTTGTCTTTTTTACCAGGTTGTTCTGCTATACTAATATTAATCTGATAAGACCATTATCACATTATATGAGACACTACATCTTGACCATTAAATCTAATAATTGATTAATAGGATAATTATGAATTGATAATTAACATATAATAAATTTCGGCTAATAGTTTTGGTGCATGTAACTTTTCATATTTATCGAATTTTTCAATAAAAAGGGTTAATACGTTTATCATTTGCCTCATATATCAAATTTGTGTAATTTTTTATGTTAATAAAGTATCAACAAAGTAGATCTTCAGGTAAAAAACGCGGTTCAATTTTAATGAATATCAGTCAGGCGACATTTCACGCGATCGACATGTCTACTGTAATAACTATGTAGAAATTTTGTGCAACATGTC